AATTATTGCCAAAAATTATTCAAAATCATAAGTTTTGAAAAATCAAAATTTCACACTTAAATTTTTTTTAAATGTAGTCCAATTATGATAGAAACCTTTTTAATGCAACTATCTCTATATGAAAAAGAAATGAGGGTCGGGCCATGAGTCGAGTCGTTACAACTTGGTTGCCAAAAAAAAATAATTTAGAACTTCATTTCTGAAAATGAAAATTTAATTCGGAACTTGGTTGTCAAAAAACTTAATAATTTTTTACCCTAGTTTATCGAATGATGTTGAAAAAAAAAAAAAGAATGATTTTAATATTCAAACTCATAATTCCGTTAATATCGTTATAGTAGACAACGATATCCTTCTTGTAAGAGGAGCTAATTTGAGCCCACTAAATTAATTAGGCCTAATAGTCCAAGGTTGGTAGGCCTGAATTTATCGCAAGTCCAAGATTGGTGAGCCCGGATTTTTCGCCATCAAACGGGCCGGATCGCTCTAAGCCTCAAAAGGGTTCAGATCCACGAACTTAGAGACTTACTCGGGCTCGAACTCGAAAAGGTTCGGATCCACGAACCTAGAGATCCGAAGCACTTGGCTTTGAACAGATTCAGACGCAATCTAGAAGCCGCTCCATTAATGAGTCCCAGAACACTTGCGGACTCGGAGCTTTCCGAAATCTACGTACCAGAACCATGGGCGTAATGGAGTCCGAACAAAGGACTCGATCTCGAGGACAATGAGTGGAAATAAATTCACTCTTTAGTTAAACTTGCCTATACTGGGGTCGAGATAGCACGATCTAGGGGGTCCCTAAGACTCGGCAATATTTGCGGCATGTCGTTCTCTTGAACTACCCCTGACCCTTCTGTAGCAGGGCGTCCTTTGGGACTACCCCTGACCCTTTGGGATGATTGGGGATCATTGGTTAGGTGTGGTTAAGAAGAAGGGTTCGCTGAGAGGTTAATCTCCTCTTTGAGGATTTTTCTCATCCTCGGAGAGGTCACCTTCTCGGACAAGGTGGTTAGAGAGAATATTCCCCATGTGTCTGGCACATGAGGTGCTTATAAATAGCACTCACCCATAACTTTACAAGGGATGGATTTTGAAGAGATAATTTTGAAGAGATAACTCTTAAGAAAGAACTAATTTTCCTTCCCTATTATCAACCTTGAGACTGAAAGTGGGAGATCCATGGGAGAGCCTTGCCATTATTCTCTCTCTAATTACTTTGCCTTATTCTTCCAATCTCTTATCTCCATCATCTCTTTGCTCTTGTGTTCTTAATTGAGACTATTGACGAATCTAAGCTTCTCATCATTCTCTAGAGAATTCGAATTTTTCTCCAAAGATCTTTGAAAATCTTCGAATTTTCCAACGACGTTTTTGAACCCTCTCATACACTTCTCAAAATCGAAACTTTCATTGTGCAAATCTTCATAACAACTAAATAATGATGGTGATATTTGAATGAGGAAGAACTTAATCTAAAGTAATAAAAGAGTTTGATAATGGATTGGAAAATATTTGGTTTCGTTTTTCTAAAAATAGTTTTTAGAAAATTCTACTTTCTTATTTTTTACATTTTTTTGTTTTTACTGAATTTTTTTAATATTTTAAGCAATTTTTTGAATTTTTAGACACATTTAACATAAATACACATAAAAAGTATAATTTTTGTGAAAAAAATCTTTTAAAAATTCAATAAATACCAAAAATACAAAAAAAAAAAACGAAAATTTAGAATATTTTTCATATTTATATGTATTTGTTAATTTTTTAAAATATTTTTTCACAGATTTTTTACTTTTTAGATACATCTAAGTAAGGTGTATCTAAAAAAGTAAAAAAATTGCTTAAAATTTTAAAAATATTCACTAAAAACAAAAAAATAAAAAAACACAAAAACAAAAAACTCAATTTTTAAAAAACTTAATTTAGAAAACTCAAACCAAACATACTGAATGGATTGCAAAGATGAGAATTTTTGAAAAATGATAATGGGGTGAGTGAGAAAAAAATATTTTTGAAAATAACAATAAAAATAGGATTTAGAGTTTTTCTCATTTGTATTGAGATTTTTTTTTTTTCTTTAGAAAATGTATACTGAGAAAACATGAATATTAAGTGGAGCGTGTACACTACTATCTATATTAGTAATTTTTTTAAAGATTAAAATTGTAATAAAAATATTTTCATTAAACGTGTACATAAAGTAAAAATAATGTGTGAAAATAGGAACTCTCGTAATTCTAATATCGCACTAAATCTCACCACTTTTGGTAAAAAAAAAAAACTTAAATTAGAAGTGATTCGCCTTTCTCACAAATTTTCTTCATTTCTTATCATTATTTACCTTATTAATTACCCAAACAAGTAATGAGAAATTTCATTCTCTCTCAACCCGAATGGAGTGTGTAAGGAATTTTATTAAGTTACCAATATATATAATATGAATAAATTAGAAACAAAAACCTAAAATTTGTTTAAAATATAGACTACCCATTTAGTTCTAAAAATTATAAATACACCCTTGTTAAAAAAAAATTTAATACGAAATATAAAATTCATAATTACTCTATTATACAACAATAAATTTACCTGAATTGTTGATTAAAATATATTTTTGATTTCATTGAAAACTATTAATACTTTATAACTTATTAATAAAAATAATTATTTGATATGTGATTAAAAATCGAAAAGAATGATATGTACTTATCAGAATTACAAAAGACAATTTTTATGTTTGGTATAGGTTATTTGGGCTAAAATAGGCACAAAAAGACAAAATAGGCTGAAAAGTCAATAAGACAGAATGTCACATTAAAACTATAGTCATTTCATTTTTTCTCTTACAAAAGTCAAAAAAGTCAAAGAGGTCTATCCCAAACAAAACTTTTAACCCAGTCTAAAATAGTTAAAAAGTCAAAAAATCAACTCATCTCCCAAACAAAAACATAATTTACTCATAAATTTTATAAAATGAGAGTGCAACTATCGGCCCCCAAATAAATAAACAAACCTTGTATTTGTAGGCTTATTTTGACAAGTTGATTAAAAATTAATTTTTTTAGACTTTTTTAGATTTGATTACTTTTTTATTTTATTTTTTTTGTATAGTTTTTCAAAATAAATTAAGAAGTTAACTGTTAACTTACTTTTCAAAATAACACGTAATGTACTCAAACTATTTTTGTTAGAGCATCTCCAACCCACTAGGTATATCATGCTTGTTAGTCAAAATGTCTAGTATAACTCATTTTTTTCAACTCCAATGCACTAGGCATATTTAATTTTTTTTTAAATCTTATTAATAAACTAATTGATTGATAATTATAGAATATTTAATTATCTTAATAACACATTAATAAGTTTAGAAAATTAATTTAACTTTTGAATTTGAATAACAATGCTAAACAAAAAATGACATTAACGCAAAATAATTATAATGTCATAAAACTATAAATAATTTATGTATTAGATTATACAATTAAGCCTTATTTCCATCCTTTTATAATTATTATAAATTTATACCATCTTATTAAAATGTATTCACATAAACAAATTACAAAAGGTGTTAGGTATCAATCTAGTCTGATCTCGGACTAAAGCATAATGTTTTACTCATGAGAATCCACCACAAATTATGTTTTAATAATTCAACTGTTTATCGTATAAAATTGATAAAGTCTTTTATTTTTACAAAAAAATTACATTAATCAAATATTGATGATCATTTAATTAATGGGGTATTTTTTTTAAGGTCCCTAATATTATGATTTTATAGTATAAAGGACATTAAACAGTTTCATAATGTCTAAGGTCCCTCAACATCAATCCAGAGAAAATTGGTCCAAAGAAAATTCAAGTCAGAGAAAATTGGTCCAGAGAAATTTAATTTCTCTGGCCTTCTTAGCCTTTCATGGACACTGCCAGAGAAATTTCCTTAGTCTTTCATGGACTCCAAAGAAATTTCAAATTTCTCTGCCATGGGTTTGATCCTCCACCATTGTTGCTACTGTTGTCACTTATATACTCTATTACCTCAAGCTGCTGATCCATCCGAACAACATTCTAGGTGATGAAGCCTCAAGTAACCATCTGCATTAGCTTGAGCAAGCAACGGACCAACAATGGCTCCAACCGGGCTCTATTTTATATCAAAAATTCCCGCTGGACAGTGAGCATACTCAGCTCTCATCACAATAGGCTTAGAAGAAACTGCAGCTTTTGTCTTCTTCAGTAGTGCTTCAGTCCGGGACTTTATAAGATCTGCAATGGCAGAGCCATAACAACAGGGCTTCCATATTCTTCACAATCCTCATCCTGTTTGGGTTAAAATATCACAATATCTTGTGTATATGAAGCCAGTGAAACTGTGGGTGTGTGTATATGAGCATCTGTAGACCTCCATTGTCTAGATTCGCTCTAGCTTCGTCTTCGTCTCCCTTAGAAGGCCAACCTGTCTCGGAGATCTGCAATGGAACCTTCTTAAACCCTAACGATGCCAGAGCAGAGTACACAGCATCGATCTGAGCAAACAACATGTTGTCGTAATAAAGATTCAATACTGGATCTACAATCCCCGAATTAGGCTAAAACAGGACGAAAGCGATCGGGACTGTGAACTCTGTGTGTGTGCGTGTTTGATCGTGGTGATGAGTGAGAGTAGAGACAAGAAAGAGGGCTGAATTTCTCTGTGATAGATGAGAGGGACCTTAGATATCAAAAAATAATATTGTGAATCTCTTCCATTACGAAATGTGAGAGAGAGACTCTAGACTGATTTTTTCATGATTAATTTATATTTTTATAAATGATAAATATAATTTTTAAAAAAAATTATTAATAGAAATCAAATCCGGTAAAATGACTATTAATAACCATTATAATTTTTTTAAAAAAATACGCCACGAACCCGAGTATTAAACGGTTATAAAACCATGATCCGTGATAACACATCCCAAAGTCAAAAGCAACTTTTTGCTTAAATACTTTACACAACAGCGTTACAAACGAAGCAAAGGAAACTAGAACTTTTATTTACAGTTAAAACAAGTCGATCAAACAACAATAAAACAAAAAAAAAAAAATTACATGAAAAAAACAAGAAAAAAATAATAATAAACAAAATAAACATGATAATTAAAATTTACATTATTAACTAGATATTTTAACAAAAGAAGAACAAAGGAGTTAATACACTTTCTTGGTAAAGAGGTTACGCAGATTAAACAAATTACCGCCCCGTCCACCGTCGTCCGGGCTGCTACCACCGCCGCCGTGACTACCACTTCCTCCACCGCCCTCGGCGGAGACGCCACTTCTACAACTCAAATGCTGCCTGTACCCAATACACATCGGAACATTCAAATTCAAAGTCCTCGCTTTGGCACCACCACTTCCATCACCACCACCACCGCCTGCGGAGGCGGTGGAGGCGGAGGAGGATTTTTTCCGGCGATTTTCGTTTCCATCTTTTCGAACACCCTTTTCGACATTCCGAACCCCCACTCGGTCGGAGCTCATCCCACCCGAGCCTCCACGCCGAACCTGCCAAACCGGGCTGCTCCGACCCAAATGGACCCCACCTCGGTTCGGACTATTCGGCCACTTCTTGGACTTGGACTCGCCCGCCGAGTTGCTCCGTGAACATGGCGCACTACTCACCTTCCGAGTCGCCGCCGTTCCGGCGACCATCTTGGGCCGAGTTCCGCCGTTGCCGGCGGATCTACTCCGTGAAAAAGGCCATAGATTTATATTCAGCTCCGCCGAGGTGGCTCCACCAGTTCCAGCTTTAATCTCTTTTTTCTTTTCTTTGATTTTTCTATCGCTCTTCTTGAATAAGGCTTTCCATCGCTTAGAAGCTGTCAATGCGGTGGCGGATGAGCCTGGTGGGTCGATCGATAAGTCGGATCTAGTAGCGAGTTCTGGATTCGGAGGTGGGTCTGGGTTGGGGGTGGTAGATTGTGGGTTTGGTGGTTGGGGATGTGGGTCGTCGGGTGGGTGGTGGTGGTAGGGGGGGAGGAGGTGGAGGGGGAGGAGGACGCCGTCGACGAACAACTCGTCGGCGGAGAGGAGGGTGGGTTGAGGGAAAGATGGGTTTCGGAGCATACAAAACTCGAACTCGGGGGAGTTGTAGTCGCTGCTTCGTCTTCCGCTGCTGCAAGGTGAGAGTATTGTTGGGCTTGCCATTTGAGAGAGAGGGAGAGAGGGAGAGTTGGGAAGTTATATTGGGGTCCTGAGGAGAGAGAGGGAGAGAGGGAGTGTTTTGAGTAGTCTACAGATGCAATAGAGAAAGGACAGAATACGAATGGCGAAAACAGGAAAAATTGTATCGATTCCTATTATTTTGTACCGCTTTATCTCATGTCCCGTTTGGTTGGTGTAATTGATGTGATTGTTAAAATAGATTATAAATTATAATTTGATAAATTATAGATTATAATTTTAATTAGAAATTATTAATTATTTAGTTGGTAGATTATACATTCAAATTGTTAGACAATATTTAACAAATAAATTGTGAAGTAATTTTTTTGTTGTGTAAATATCATTTTTGTCCTTATAAAATAACAAAATTATTATTTTTATTATTTTTTTCAGTTTTAATTTTTGAAAAAAAAAATTATTTTATTAATAGAAGTTAATATAATTAGTACCAATTAATATAAAAATTGATACATTTCATTACAACAATTATTATTTCAAATTTTTTATTTCATTTAATAAAAATTATTTCATTTTTTTCATTAATATCAATGAGCAACAATTGTTTTTTTTTGTTACAATACCAAAATAAAATTCTTTTGATAGAAGTTATTTAATTGAAATAAATTCATATCAATATTAATTAAAATAAAATTGTGCAATTTATTTCTTTATTTAAATTGTGCAATTTATATTGACAATTGTGAAATATATTTTGAAATAAAAATTGTGATTTTTTTTCATTACAATACAAATTAATAATATAAAAATTGCTAAGTTTTTTTAATTTATTAATTCACTACAATAATACCAAACCCTAGCTACAAACCAACACAGAGAGAGCTAGGGTTGATCGCGGAGAGAGAGAGAGAGAGAGAGAGAGAGGGGCCTGATTGCAACATCGGAGAGAACATGGAAGGTTGATCGTCACGTCGAAAAGAACACGAAAGGTTGATCACATCGCGATGGTTAGGATTTCACATTACAACACTAGGGTTTCGCATCGTGCTGGTTTCGTATCGCTAGGGTTTAATAGCATAGCCAAAGAACAACGCTGGAGAGAAAGAGAGAGAGCTCTAGTTCACAACGCCAGAGAGAGAGGGAAAGATAGAGAGAGAGAGAGAGAGCTCTGGTTCATAACATCGGGAATCGCCGATTGTCGTGATGGAAATCACCTTTCTCATATCGAAAATCGCCACTCTCTCGCTCTCTCAGAGTGAACAGTGACCTTTGTGGTTTATATAGTAGCAATTTGGTAATATTTCAAATTGATGAAGGGAATTTAAGTAATTTTGGCCCTCAACACTAGCCCTCTGCTTAATCTGAGAATCAAAAGCACTCCTAGGGCTGATTCTAAGATTCTGATTATTTGCCTTCAAAAAAAGATGTTGGAAGTTGAAGTTGGTATGATTAAACTGAAACAAACAGTTAGTTTTAGCTTTTTTTAAACTAAAAGTTATAAGTTGAGTGAAAAAAGTTGGACCAAACACCCTCCTTATCTGTCGATTAAATTTTAAAATTTATATGTATTTAAATTCATTTCATTTTGTTACAATTAATATATATGTATATTTTTTTAACTTGTAATGAAATATTAAAATAAAAATAAGCATGAGAGAGATTTAAGATGGAAAATTTATTTTAAATTAGTAATTATATATATATATAAAATATTATTTAAAATTAATTTGTATTATATATATAATTAGTTTATGTTATATATAAAAAATATTATATAAATTAGGGTTATATAGAAATTCTTGATAATTGGTTAATAATATTTTTCAATCCGTTAATTCATTCCAAATCATTTAAACTATAATTTGATTATTTGTCAATTCGTCAATCTACTATTTTGTTTATAACTTTATTTTCAAACTGCTTAGACCTATACATCATGAGGAGATAAGTATACTCAAGGACTAGGATTATCTTCTCATTTTACAACGGGAAGTGATCAATATGTGTAATGCTCTCAATAAATTTTTTTACAATAAATATTTTTTTATATATTGTGTTAAATTTATCTTCTCATTTATTATAATTATATTAATTAAATGAATTTAATCACTCATGTTTATTATTAATCATTAATAATGGCACATTATATGTTAAATCAAACATGATAGTATGTAATATGATTATTATGCTTATTATTGTTTAATATGATTATTATGATTTTATTAATATGATTATTATTTTAGGGAGATTTAGCTACAGCTTCCTTATTATAAATGTTTAGAAGTTTAAAGACATAAGAAAAAAGTTTTTTAGCTCAAGTTCTCGAAAATTCTCAACGTCATTTTCGGACCAAAGTACTCCCAGCATTAATAATTTGTTATGCTATCATTGGAATGATTTTAAAACTTTAAAATTTAATAATTTTTTATTTGCATATCTATTTTTTTATAAAGTTTATATTTTTAGAATTCTCTCATCAAGATCTATCAAACAAAATTCATGATAAATTCACTAACCCAAGTCAGAGAAATTTCACTAAAAGCAGTTAAATGTCACTATAATTAACTTTAAGTTTCAATGACAAAAATGCTCAGAAAATTTTAGAATTGTTTAGAGAAATTTTTGAATTGCTTATTTTCTCTCGGAGAAATTTTAGAAATTAGATAATTGAGAAGTCAGTGAAATTTCTTTGACTTCTAGTCAGAAAACTCAGTGAAAATTTAATCTTTTTTTTCTTTTCAAAATTTCACATTTATCATAGATCTTGTTTGATAGATCCCGGCGAGATGATTCCAAAAACATAAATTTTACAAAATACAGAGTTTTAGATCAAAAGTTATTAAATTTTAAAGTTTACAACTTGTCTATAGTAAATAGAGAAAGTGCTGGAATTTCATGGTACCAATTGTTAAAAAGGTACGCAGTCCATATATCCAAATTTGAGATTTGTTTGGCCAAACGTCTATGTAACGCCCAAAATAATTACCATAACTCATCCTCATTATTAATAGACAATAACAATACTAACATAATTACCTTCCATTGAGTCCAACGTGATTTACAAAAGAGAAACATATACGGTATACATTCAATATGCATAACCATGAATTTATAACATATGTTACAAATATAAGAAAAGAATGAAAGTTAAATAGGTAAGAAACGTTCTAAAAGCTTACAACTTTCCAATATAGTTCTTGGTTACAACAAAAGAGGATTTTAAATCAGTACATTTAAAGCCCTTGGCTATATAAAAATGAATACAACAAAAGAAGCCTTTGCTCCAAATCCTTCCAAGCCACTATCTTGGCGGAGGTATGCCATCAACACCTGAAATGTTTTTCTCACATAGGGTGAGTCAAAGCTCAGTAGAAATAATCCAATACAGTGTATGAATTTTAACAAAGGTATAAGGAGAGTGCATATGCTATGTTCATGCCAAAACATATTTATATTTCTTTTCAAAACTATGCAATGCCAAGTTAATACCTTGATTCACAATTCATTCCATTTCAATAGAAAATAGGGTGGTGATTTACACTTTAAGAAATTTAAAACAATACAGCCTTTTCTGGAAATTTCGTCTGGAGGAAACCGTAAGTCGGGACCTATGTAAACGTAGGCTATACAAGCACTGTTATTTATATTTCAAGGAAATTTCATCCGTGGGATTAACACCCATGTATACCCGCGATTTTCGGGACTTTTATCCAGGACACTCAGGCCAATTTAGTTCAACAGCACAATTCATGTTTTCTCAATTCACCATTTTTCTCTAAACGATAACATTTTCAATGTATAAGTATGAAATGAAGTTCAATGCAAATGAATGAGAAAATAGTTTCAATTTTTCCTAATTCACATGCAAATTCTACAACAATCATGGCTATCTTTCACCAATAGCTCAAAACAAATATTTCTAAATAGATAGTTTATATTCCATAAAGGTAAACTTTTCAAATCTCAAGAGGTGAGTGACAATACATATTCAACTCTATCAACCTTATCAATGCCAATCCAAATTCATTGTTCCAACGTCAATTTCATTTATTTATACAAAATAAATGTTTGAGGCATTTAGGCCAATATTCTTACTCTTTGCAAAATCAAACCCAAGTATTCAAAATCAATCATTTTCACCTCACTCCTCATTATTTTTAACATCAAAACCATTACTAAGAGATTATTCGAAAAACCTCTCTTTTAATTTTTCTATTTGAGAGGGAGATTAATGATATGGACTTTGTGCCAGACAGATTTGGGCCGGGCAGAGTTGTGTCGGACAGATTTGGGCCGGACAGAGTTGTGCCGGACAGATTTGGGCCGGGCAGAGTTTGGACTGAGTGTGTGCCACCCCGGACCGAACAGAAACTGCTCGGCCAGGAAGTGACCGGTCGGACCAGGATGCTCGGTCCGAGGATGGTCGAAGCCAGACAGACCGAGTGACCGGCGCCCGGAAAGGCGTGGTCAGCCGAGGTAGTTGATTGACCGGCAGGAAGGCCGACCAAAGGAGGTACCCGGGCTAGGCTTTGCCGGGATGCCGCCTAGCCCGGTCCTCCATGTGTTTGTCCGGTTAGGCGCATGGGTATGAAGCATGGCATGGCCGTGGTAGAGCAGCACGGCTGCCGAGCTCCAGCTGTGAAGTCAGGCAGTTGAGATTAGGTGATGTTCAGCAAGGTCTATGCTGACAGATGGGATAGCAGAGCCACGTGTCAGGAGATGACTGGGAGTGGGTAAGGGGCTCAGAAAGTATATAGGCATGTCTGCGCCCCCCATACGCGAACCACGAACACTCTGTAAGGAATTTCTCTTTGGGGCTGCCATATCAGTGGGTTTAGGGGCATATTTTGATGCATAGAAACTTTGTTTTGGTCGCTTATCGCCAAGAAGCAAGTCGCGGAGCGGACCTTGCTCGCTGACCTTGGAAGTTCCTTGCCGAGCTGTTTTTGCTCGCCAAGAAGGAAGTCGCGGAGCGGACCTTGCTCGCTGACCTTGGAAGTTCCTTGCCGAGCTGTTTTTGCTCGCCAAGAAGGAAGTCGCGGAGCGGACCTTGCTCGCTGACCTTGGAAGTTCCTTGCCGAGCTGTTTTTGCTCGCCAAGAAGGAAGTCGCGGAGCGGACCTAGCTCGCCTTCTTTGGAGTTCCTT